CAGAAAGAGAGAGAGATTTCTTTGATCTGCATGCTGTACGTTAGGTGCTCCTAACCATGGGCTTATTGGTGCTCTGTGTTTCCATCTCATAGTACTTGCCACATTGGGTTGTTGTTGTTGCTGTTATTTGCCATCGAGTTGGCCCTGACTCATAGCAACCCCTCCTTGGGTTTCCGAGGCAGGATCACTATGGAAGTAGGATTGCCCAACCTTCCTTCCGAGGAGTGGCTGGTGGGTTTGAATCGCCAGCCTTCTGGTAAGCAGTCAAGTGCCTTAGGCACTATGCTACCAGAGCACCTTGGGTCAGCTTAGTGGTATTAACGAGCCTGCGCTTGACTTTGTCACTAATATTGGAACTATAGGTTCCACGGGCACTGGCCTGGCTCCTGTGCTGCTAAAACTGATCAGATCTTGGAGCTGCGGGTGGGCAGACCCAGAGAGGAACTCCTGTGGTGGATCAGGTTCTGGGCCAGTGCCACAGGTGGGCAGGCCCAGAGAGGCACTTATGAGGTGGATTGTGGAGCTGGGCAGTTGTCTTGGGTTGGCTTTTTGGTGCCGAGGAGCCTTGGGAGCAGGGTTTTTGCATGTGTCTGATCCTGTCAGACAGTGGTGACCCCCTAACAACTGGAGTCTTTGCTAAAATTGAGCTGTGGGCCTGTGAATAACAGTACAACGTCATCATTAGCAGCCCACTCAAAGCCCTAGAAATGGCCCCTAGCAATGTGGAGCTTTCCTTCTTTCTCTCTTCTGCTCATACCTTCTCCGACAATACCCTAATTCGTCCAATAGAAGAAACCACATTCAGCCACCAAAATACCTTCCAGTTCAAACTCTAAACCCTCTTTACGACAAACAGAAACCCATGTAGACATTTCACACGGTGATTCCACCATCACAAAGAAAACTGCAGAGCAATCCAGCATACCTGAATTAATAACTAAAAATATAAAATACACCAGCTTCATCTTTTCAAAATATTAAACCAAGACAAAACAAATCAATTCATAACCAAACAGTTAAAGACAACCTCAAAATATCTTGGAAACAACAGGTAACCTCAAATCAAACAAAAAAACAGGACAAAGCATTAGAAGAAAAACCACAAACAAAGTTCTCATTAAACATAGAAGAAGAGGCGGCAATAGAATTATCTGAGAAGGAATTTAGAAGATATGTTTATAGAACTTTACAAGAGCCCAAGGAAACTCCAAACAG